AGCGAGTGTTGAACGGGACTGTGCACTCGAGCACGGGATACGCACCCGACGAATTGCATATGACAGGCGAGATAGAGCTGTATCTCGAGCCGAGGTTATTACCGCGAGGAAGAAGAGGACGACGCGGGAGTAACGCGAACGGAGATGAAGCGCGGCTAGGGAGCGAAAGACGCGAGGAGCGGATACGCATAGCCAGGGAGAAATTGAAGGAGCGCGCTAATGTGAGAAAACGACAGTTCGAGAAAACGACGACGGTCGAATCGTATCGACGGGGTGATCTGGTGTGGTGTAAGATCCATCGGAGATCAGACGCGAGACGGCGAACAACCAGAAAAATTCACTTAGTCTACGACGGACCGTACAGGATACGCAATGTAGTGCGTAGAAACGCGTACGAGCTGGAACAATTGAACGGTACATTTTTCGGTGTGTACAACTCGAGACAATTGAGACCGCACCGAGCATCGAGATACGAGAATGACAATGATAACGCACGCTATGGTAATGATGATGATGATGATAATGCTAACGATAGTAACGCGAGTAGTGACCACGATAGGAATCACGAGGTTAATTATATCACGAGAAAGGAAGATAGGAATAACGTTAGAAGTGATAATAGATACCGCGCTAGAAATAGAAATGATCCGCGTAACGCGAGAGCGAGACATTATTATGATATAGCGAGAGACAGATGTAGATACGGAAGAGTAAACGCGAAGAGTGGAGTCGAGAATTACGATGATGATTTACCGCGAATAAATGCGCTAGTGATAATGCCGAGTTGGAAGAGGAGAAAGTTACGAGAGGAGGAAGGCGAATGGAAAGTGCCGGGATGGAGAAAGAAACAAATCGAGGAAGCGAAGAAAATGCGTAGAGTGAAAACGCGAAAGTTGCAAAGCGAGGAAACAGATAGATCGGAGGTAGCGGTGAAATTCAAATGTACGGGTATACGTTTCAGGGGCGACAAGTGGAATAAACTGATTCGCAGCAGAGAACTGAAACGGTTAAAAACGGCGAATAGGAAAAAGATACAAATAGCGAAAATACGCGAAGCGAATGAAGAACGCGAGAAAGCGGAGAGAGGAGAAAGTAACGCTAGTGCTGGTAGAGCGGTTAATGACGCGGAATGCGCGAACGGTAGCGAAGCCGTGATAGTAATTGAAGAAGAGATAGACAGTCAAACGGTGGGAAAGAGAGTAGCACCGAATTGTATGGTGGTGATACCGCGAGAGACGCGAAAGCGATTATTCGAAAGAATAGCCATCGAGGCGAGGTACGCCGACAAAGAGATTACGATCGGTCGAACCGACGAAGAGATTATGCGAGGAACGATAATAGAAATAGAAGAAGAAGATAGGGAACCGCGAAGTGCGAAGATAAGTAAAGCTGATACACGCGAGTGCGAGACACAGAGCGAAGCTAAAGACGAAGTAGAGGATAATCACGTGGAGAAGAGAAAACGTACGTTGGTAACGGTAAATATTACGCAACGCGATACCGAGGTAATAGATAGAACCGAAAGTGGCGAAATTGATTCGTATAGGTCGACGACGCAGTTGAGCGAGTCGAGAACAGGGAATAAGGATACGGAGACGGCAATAACAGACAAAGTGGCGCGTGAGGTGAAAAAAAAACGTGTTTACACGACGTCGGAGAGCCGGGATTCGGGGAATCGTCGCGCACGAGCGGACAAAGGACGAGACGAGAGTGCGCGCATGAGCGTCGGGAGTACGGAAAGATCCTCAGTCGTGAATCTAACGAGCTGTGAGATGGATCGCGAGGACAGTGGTGACGACGACGGTTGTAGAGAACGCGAGTTGGCGCGACGGCAAGCGCGAGTAACAGAGTGCCTGAACGAGCGTATACGGATCGCGGAACGTTTCAGGGACGCGTGCGGCAGTGTACGCCGAGCGGAGGCCGTGCTCGAGGACATTCGACGAAAGGATGTGCCGGACGTCGAGGAGTCGGTGCTTCTACGGCGGTCGACCGCGAAGATGAACGAAGCGGTGAGACGCGCGGAAGTGATTTTCGGTGAGACGCGTCAAGTGACAGACAGGGTGTGCTTGTACGACGACACGGGCAAGCTCAGAACGGAGATTGAGATGCAATTTACCGTTAAGCAGCATCCGGGACCGCCACAAACCGCGCAAACGTACGGAATTACGTACGAGTACGACGACGGTAATGTGCGACGTACCGCGGTGAACGTTAGAACGGGCGCGAACATAGTCAGAGACACGGGGGCGCGTAAAATTGGCGCGGAACGCGCGATAATGCCGGCGAGAGTGACAGAGGAGCGCGGCGAGGCGGACGAGTCGTTACAACCGTCCACGCCGTCGACGGTGAAGCGAGAGGAGGAGGACGCGACGGAGACGTCGTGCCCGTCGGAGGGCGAGCTAGCCGTTCCGCGGGCGATACCGCTTACCGAACGACCGAACGTGACGGAGACCGATCCGCAGAGCGACAAGGGTATTAGAGCGGCCGACGACGAAGGCAGTGAGACGGAAGAGTCGCGAGCGGAGGCAAGCGTGTCGGAGGACGAAGCGAGCCAACCGCCGATTCTGACGGCGGAGACCGCGACGGTGAGAGGCGACGCGAAGGCGGGATGTCTAGCAGAGCCGAGGCCGGGGCCGAGTCGAAGGACGGATGACTCGCAGCCGGGACCGAGTCGCGAGAGGGAGCCGAGCCCCGTGATCGGGGCAATCTCAGTCATTAATCTGTCCGACGATGAGTCGGATGTTTTGTCTTTTAGATCACCAGCGTTTTCAGAGCTGACAGCGTCGGAGCCGGGTAGAATGCAGCGGCTGAACGTTTAC